CTGTGCAAACCTGCTGCTCAGAGAGGAACCCCCACCTGCTGTTATTAGGCATAGCCTGAACTGTTGTTCCTTGAGTGGCTAGATGTTGTGTTTATTTTCTGAGCAAGCCCTGTCTAACTCAAAGCTTCTCTGGTGTGTTCCCAGAGAGCCCCCTGATGGCTTCAGCTTTCATCCAAATAGTCTGTGCTTTCAGGTTTTTGAGTAGTTGGGGAAATGCTTGTTGACAGCAAAAGGCTTTCCAGGAGCCAGCAGAAGTTCAGGGTGAGATGTAGGGGGGCAATAACCACCTTCTTGGCTGGGATGGTACCTTCTCCCCTGATGGCTGCATGCACGCTGGGCAGCCGCATGTTCCTGCCTGAGCTCGGCTCTGGCAGCCGGCAGCCTCCCGCCCTGCAAACCTGCATCCTTGCTGATGCTTTTACTGTGATGCCTGTTTTGAGCCAGAGCCCAGCACCATCAAGCAGGTGTTTCTTCAGCCTCTGGACTGGGCCTGTGGTCATCACACAAGGAGTGTCACCGGGGGACCTTGTCCCACCAGCAGCTTGGGGTTCTTTTTTTCTTCAATATTCCTGGAAAAGAGCTGCAGAGTGCTCCTGCTGTGGCAGTGGGTATGAAGAGGGCCAGGAGGTGCTGTGGAGGTGGCTCATCCTTGCTCTGTGAGAAGCATCCTGTAAAAACAGTTTTGCAATAAGGTTACACAAACCTGGCTCTGTTGCTGGAGAAGGCAGCCCTGCCTCCCTGCCACCCTCTGCAGCGGCTGCAGGGTCCCACGCACGGTCCCATGCACAGTCCCACGCACGGTCCCACGCCCTGCCACCGCTTGCCAGGTTTTGTGTGGGCAGGGCGGGAGTGCTGGCTGCCCACGAGGGTGCCGATGCCAAGAGTGCCAGGGAACAGCCCACCCTGCTGGGACCCTTTAGCTTGGCTTAACCTGAACAACAACACCTCACCCTGGGACACAAACAGTTTTGCTCAACCAGCCGGCGCCTGTTTGCTTCTCCTTTGTAAAGAGAGCCAGGCCAGGGCAGCCAGCCTGCTCTCACGCCTCCCTGGGGAGCCCTGGCGTGGTGACAGCACCGTGACACCACTCCCGGTCTCCGAGCCATCCAGGTGAGCTGAGCAGAGCCGCAGCAGCCTCAACCCCAGCCCCGGGTCTGGCCGGGAAGAGTGTGGGGCCAGCGGCACAGCAGGAAGGAAACAGCTTGCACTGGGGGGAAGGAGGCGTCAGCTGCTCCCGGCAGGGCTCAACAACAAGTTCATCCTGCAAGGAACTTGCTGGAGCCAGGTTATGCAGTATCTGAAAAACTGGACTGGAATGGGAAATATGTCCGAGGCAACGCCTATGGCGTGAGCCAGCCAGGGCGGAGTGGGTGGCCAGGGATACCGCCCCACTGTGCAGGCCCCAGCGGAGCAAGGACACCATCCGAGCAGGGAGCACTGCCCTGCTGGGGCTCCCTTGGCAGCCACAGGAGCTTGGTTTCTGCCCTGGCGTGATCAGCCACAGGATGCTGATGGGAGCAAAGCGGCAGTGACGTGCCTCAAGAGGCGATGGCTTTGTTGGACACAGCAGTAAGAGCGCCTGCCCAAGGATGGGGCTGGGGAACTCCTGACATGGCTGCGATGCCAGCCCAAAGGCTGCCTGGCCAGGTGTTTTGCTGCTTCAGAAACTGCCTGGGCAAGGACTGAATCCCTGCTGCCACCTGCAAAGGAGGAAGGACAACATCTGTGTACCCAAGGCCACAGCCAGGTAAAGCCCTTGCTGCCCAGCCATGTGCGGGTCTCTCCTGTGGCCACATATCTCCCCCTAAGTCCATATGGTGTGGGCCAGCCTGGGAACCATTCTCATGGGGTGGCTTTATCCCAGGCACCCACCCAGCCAGGGAACATCGCTGTGCATTGGCTTCTACCCCAGAGACCTGCCTGGGCATTAATGCTTCTGCCCCTTCCCATCCCTGGCTCCTCCTGCCGTGTTGATGTCCAGCTTATCCATCCCCAACTGCTCCTGTGTGCTGCAGCGTCCCTCCAGTGCAGGGATGAGGGAGGATGGTTTCATGCTTTTGGCTCGGGGCCCCCAGCCTCTCCGCGGGCAGGATGGGATGCAGGCAGGGAAGGCAGTGGGGCATGCTGGCCTTCCTGGCACCAGCACTGGGTAGGAGCGAGTGGGGCAGATGCATGTGGACCCCCATGATGCCCTGCCCAGCCCACATTGGCCCCCACACCTCAGCTAGGGGGGCTGTCTCGTACCCCAGAAATGGACCCAGAGGGAAGGACTGCACCAGAGTCCTTGTCCTGTCCCATGGGGAGGTTTGGCTCTAGACACAGACACTGCTTATGACCTGCGTGAGTCACTGAAAGACTCAGAGTGCTTTTTACTGTGATGCTTTTTGGACACTGCGTCAGCCTGGAAAAACCCAGGTGCCACCGTCCCCTCCCTGTGGGCAGGCCAAGGATGAGCTCCCAGCCGCAGGAGCTGGCTGCAGCAGATCATCCTCTCTCTTCTCAATAGCTTGTTTATAAGTTTATAAGGATGCAAACACCTCACGAGTGAAAAAACAACTTCACGCCAAATAGCCACTAGCTCCCGATGGCCCAATCTGTGCAACCACCTCCTTGGTTATACCTTTTCATTCCTGTTTGCTCCAAACCCTTTTCTGTGGCTGAGCAGCTGGGAAGGGATGGCAGCGCAGAGGGGCAGGCGGCCGGGGTCTGCCTGCCCGCAGGAGGGCGCGGGGGGAGGCCCGTGCATTAGGATGGGCTGTGGGAGCACCAGGGCACCAACCGGGCTGCCCTCGCTTGTGCTGAGGCGCAACACGCTGGCGCGGTAGCAAGGCCATAAAAAGACACAGAGGGCTCGTCCCTGCTTATTCACGGCAGGAGCGGGCCGGCGCGTCCCCTGCTCCCCAGCCGGAGCTGCTGCCCGG